TTATAAAAATATGTATCTTTTTCTTGTCAGCTTAAATCATTTGTGTAAAAAGTACTCGTAATACTTCCTTTGAATTTTGCTTAAATATTTCTTTAATAGTGAGATACCTTTTCTAAACATTTTTGTGTAACATTAGTTTTAATAGCTAGAAAATATATGTTTTGTCTTAGTCGTTTCACAGTTACCTGTGGGGTATGAATAACAATACATGTATGACTGAAAAATTATTTTTATCCGTTAAGGATTTCTAGCAAATCTGGAGAAAACAAATGCATCTGTAAAATCATTAAATGTATTGTCACATCCGACAGGAAGCCTTGTACTTTTAATTCCTGCAATGAGTTTGATAGCTGTTAAAAAGTTCGAGGAACTGGAATTAAAAATGGAAAGATGATAACTTGATTTTAAGAAAGAGTATGTAGGCCTACATTTGAAGGATGAGTCCAAGAAGAAAACATAAGAAACCAAACCTAGAATCAAGATGCGAGACAATTGTTATCCTATCATCGACTAGAAATCATCAATCTCCCTTTTTCCAGTATGCTCCGTTTTCGACTTGTCTCAGTCGCATGACAACCGAAGTCCATCGCTTGCGGTAACTGTAATGTTAACATGAGTAATGAGGAAACGATCTTGTAAGTGGCGCAATTCGGTGATAATCTAGACCCGTTTGTAGTTGTCGTAACATGAATCCAGCTGAGTGCGACTGATTTATGTAGACTAATTATCTTACGCTTTTTAGCATAAGTGTTTTCAATAGCATTAAATTAATTAAAACAATGATTGTTAAAAAATTAACGAAAAACGCAAAGAAAATCGGGAAGATGTACTTAGAATCGGTTATTATAGCAATGCAAATATAATGAAAGTAGTAAATTCAAGTTGGATGAAAAGTTGATTATTTCAAGGTAATATCGCACACAGGTGAAGAAAGAATGACAATGTAATCATGTAGTGCCTTTGGTGAAATACACGATTTGGCTAACATTTGACACTTTGCAATCCAGCGAATTTTTTATCTATGTATCACTTCCTCACCGTAAGTCTCAACACATCCGGTGTCTCTTTCATTTCAGTATATAAGCTACTGCTGTGCAATATGTGGTAACTATAGATTCAATGTATATCTTTCATTGGTTTCATTTCTTTACAAATGACAAACTGATTTTGTTTGCAACTAACTTATAATGGGAACATGCTTTGAAATCAAATATAATATTGACGATTTTATGTCATCATTTTTCAGTTATAGCTGAGCCTGATTTGTACATGCATGCTAGCTTGTGCTTTAGTCAAACCAGATGTGTGGTTTTTGGGGTTATGGAGTGTGCCGTGAAACTCAACACCTTCCAGTTACCAGTTGTGAAACACAGACTTACTGTTTTACACTGTGTGGAAATCTCTCTCTCTCTCTCTCTCTCTCTCTCTCTCTCTCTCTCTCTCTCTCTCTCTCTCTCTCTCTCTCTCTCTCTCTCTCTCTCTCTCTCCATTTGTCTTAATTTAACGAGAGAAGCTTCTCTGACGATCTTTTCTTTGATCAAACCAATATGTTCATTTTACAAAATCAATTTTGATTCTAAAATTGTATTTGAGATATATTAAGAATGCAGTGAAACATTCTGAATGTCTGGTAAATGATAAAAAGAACTCGTGAATGAATGTAATAATTAATTAATGAATAACGTATCAGCTAATCCTATACAATTATATAAATTATTACTATAACCGCAGTTTAATTTTCAAGTTCCTGTTTCATCTTTAAAATTTCAGTTCAAGCCATTAAAATTGGTTACTGCTTCCTCAGATGATTAAATGCTGTTTATATTTACCTGTGTAAAATCTCTACTTGCTGTATGTTAGCCCCAAATAATTTGGTACTGTGTCTGTTGCCTCTGTGAACAAATACCATGTATGTAAACAATGTCTTTATGGTGTTACCATGTGGAATTCGGACATCAAAGGTATGGTACTTTGCTGTGAATTGTTAAAATTATTTTGCTGTGTCGCAAGGAGGTTGTAGTAGTGGTGGTGAAGATGATGATGGTAATAATGATAGCGATCAGGAGACGACGATGACGACTACATTGACTATCGAGACAAAAATGATGATTTGTTGTTGTCGCTGTTGGTCTTGCTTCTAATTTTGCTGTTCACTCCTGGAACCAAGCACCAAAAAATAGAATCAGACACCGATAGATTGGAATCAGACACGGAAAGAATGGAATCAGACACCGAAAAAGGGGAATAAGGTACCCAAGGAGTGAAGTTAGGCACCGAAAGAATGACGTGTAATAGTGCATACAAAACTAGAACGACATCGAGCAAGTTTTCATGAGTCCCCAGAACACTTTTCAAAGTGGTCCTATTCCTGAATGCGTCCAATGAAATTATTTTGGATTTCAAATATTTATATCTTCGACTTATAGCTGCCGGATTTATTTTTCTACCATTGTACTTCAGTTTCTGTCATAATTGTTACTTGTCCAACCAGAAAATATAAAACGCAGCGTAAACATGTGCTGAATATAGCAGGGCTTTTGTCTCAGTGCCTACAGTTCGCGCTTTTGATATCACTACGTTTGCTATACTGTAGATTGCTTTATTCGCCCTTCAATCGTACGTGTTTTAATTTATTCATTTTGGTACTGTTAATTAATTACTCTATCTCAAATACTTCGTTTGATGAACAAAACCTATTCAATATAAATTATTTGAGATCTCTTTCCATCTCGTCATTTTCGGACTCGTAGGTCTTAGGAAGGCTTATATTTTCCTTTTATTAGCAACACAACAAACTACAACACAGCAACTACAACCTGTAGTAAAACGAAATGAAACGTATACGTACATTCGGTAAGGTTATGATGGGTAAATGACTGAAGATTGTTCAATATCAGCAGACATCCTTGAAATAAAACGTTGCTCCTACAGTGTGACTCGCATTAAAATGACAAAGAAAAAGATAAATTGATGGGTAGGTAATAATCACAGACACTGTTATATATTATCTATCGGATGAACCCCCAATAAACGTAGTAATAGAAAGAAGCAAAAAGCGACATTGTTTGTAAAACGTAACAAATAATTTAATTCTCTAACTTAAGATGAAAATTACAGAGGAACATACAGTATTATGAGTTAAATCGAAAATAATACCAAAATGTTTTCATCACAAGTCCCCAAGAACGAAGTGTTCCGAATGAAATCCAGATCATCTAATGTACTTGTCTGCCAACAGTCATGATGTATCGCAATGCTATTGTCTAGAAGGAGCATAATCTTTAAAAGGATGTTGAATTTTTTTTTTATGTCAGCACCTTATCATGCATACGTTTCCTCACTTAAGTCAAACCATATCTGTGATATTTAAAACGCTGAGAGATGGATCGTTTCAATTACGCTTGTTAGGTTTACCTTAGTTTTTCCTGATCCATTGTAATGGAATTTATAGCGTGACCAACTTGACCTACTATTAGTCGTTTGAATAACACTAGATACTATGGTATTGTATTAAGCGTATTTTGTATTGTCAGCAATTTTAATATATCAGACAAAAATTATTGGAAATATATATTACAGCAAGAACACCACACCAGTACAGTGACGTTCACTTGACCTAAGGTACTGCGGTTTTACCGGCATGTATACAACGTGTTTTCTTGATGTTCACAAGATAAAATATGATTTATGCATACCAATATCTTCAAAATAAAACATCGTGCATGCACACCAATGCCTCTTTTCATTGTTCTCAAGATTTTACACAATTCTAGCATACCTATATCTATTTGCATGGTCTGCAAGATGAAACATGATGCATATACACCAATGCCTATTTGCATGGTCCTCAAAAAATATGATGCCTACACACCAATACCTATTTGAATGGGCCTCAATAAAATAAGATGCCTACACACCAATACCTATTTGCATGGGCCTCAATTAAATATGATGCCTACACACCAATACCTATTTGCATGGGCCTCAATAAAATATGATGCCTACACACCAATACCTATTTGCATGGGCCTAAAAATATGATGCCTACACACCAATACCTATTTGCATGGGCCTCAATAAAATATGATGCCTACACACCAATACCTATTTGCATGGGCCTCAATAAAATATGATGCCTACACACCAATACCTATTTGCATGGGCATCAAAAAATATTATGCCTACACACCAATACCTATTTGCATGGGCCTCAAAAAATATGATGCCTAAACACCAAAAGCTATTTGCATGGGCCTCAAAAATATGATGCCTACACACCAATACCTATTTGCATGGTCCTCAATAAAATATGATGCCTACACACCAATGCCTATTTGCATGGGCCTCAATAAAATATGATGGATCCACACGATTACCTATTTCCATGGGCCTAAAAAGACATGCCTATTTGCATGGGCTTCAATAAAATATGATGCCTACACACCAATGCCTATTTGCATGGGCCTCAATAAAATATGATTCCTACACACCAATACCTATTTGCATGGGCCTCAATAAAATATGATGCCTACACACCAATACCTATTTGCATGATCAGTATGATAACACAAGATGCAAGAAACCAATTCCTATTTTTACAAGGTCCTCCTGAATATTCCACTAAAGGTCAAAAGGACACGTTCACTAAAGTAATACTTATTATCAGGCCATACACAAAACATTAAAATCCTCAAGAAAAATATCTTGAGCGTATATATATATATATATATATATATATATATATATATATATATATATATATATATATATATATATATATATATAGAGAGAGAGAGAGATAGAGATAGAGAGAGAGAGAGAGAGAGAGAGAGAGAGAGAGAGAGAGAGAGAGAGAGAGAGAGAGAGAGATGTGCATGTGTCTTTGTTGCTTTGTATGATTGCATGTGGGGGAAATTTGCGTAAAGAATAAACTAAAACAATACCTGTTACTTTTGCAGATCTCATACAGACTTTGTCCTCTGCACTAACTTCACCAGAACGGACTGGTGACCTAGTGGTTATAGTATCCGTCTCTGATGCGGGATGTTGTGAGTTCGATCCCCAGCCGAGTCATACCAAAGACTTATAAAACAGCTACCTCGCTTGGCGCTCAGTATTAAGAGGTTAGTGTTAGGACTGGTCAGCCTGGTGTCAGGAAAATGCGACTGGGTGGGACAACATGCTACATGTCTGTGGCATAATGCTCAATCCCGGTACTAGACATCACTATAAAGTGCCACACTGCAGAATTCGTAGCGATATGACTGAAAAACTAATAAAGATACGGTAAAAATCCAAATCACACACACGCACACTTATATTTACCATATCCAGAAGTCATCTGTCATTCCTATTGCCGTTTAGTTTGAATACCAAAGTTGATCTGGTGTACTGCACTAACTTCCAAATTAAAATGCTTATCTGGTTTACTGCACGTACTTCCAAATTAAAATGCTTTATCTGGTGTACTGTACGTACTTGTAAATTAAAGTGCATCATCATCACTTACAAAAGCACTTTGAAAATTAAAACCTCTTTTCGTCTTATCTGAATTAACGCACACATAATCCAAACAATGTAATTCATTCTTATTAGCCAGAAGACTGCCAAACACCAACATCTGGAACCATCACAAACTTCCTAACATTGTTTATATATCATGGAACCGTCTTGATGTGCACGCCATCCAAGTCCATAGCATGGTAACCAATGTAATTGGCATACCGTATTATTCCATCTTCCGCACTTTAATGTTCATAGACTGCTTGCATTGCAAATATTATTCAGTAACATTCCTTAATATTTCTCAATCGCAAAATTAAACCGATTAAATAAATCTATAAATGTGAAAGCTCAAAGAAGATAGAATTGCCAAGCAACCTGGACACTCAATTATTGCCAATAACTAAGGAGGAGAGTGCCATTGTGTGTAGCTAAAGTAGTCCGGCTGTGCAACTGTCATGTCGGTCATCAAAAAAGCTGACAGAATAAATTGATGTTTTATTCCTTCATGACAATGGGGATATACACATGTAATACTGCAGAGAAAAGGAGACAAAAAGAAACAAGGTGTTGCTCATCAATTGTGGACATATTTCTGTCATTAGTGGACAATAATGGAATCGGCATGCTAAACCAATATTGTTTGTGTGTCGCTGTTTCTTGCGAGGTCGTAAAGCGTCGTCCAGGCTGACTGATAATTAAATTATGTCATAGTCACTTTTTTTAGCTTAACTAAAAAATTTTATATTTAAAAAATATTGATTATTATTTATTTAAAGCTGTCCGAAATGCTATAAAAAGGGTTTGTATTAAAACCTTAAGAATGTGATCGATACATGTACATTATTGAACGAACTCAACAAGTATGACATACTTTGTATAGTCATCAACAAGTATGACATACTTTGTATAGTCATCAACAAGTATGACATACTTTGTATAGTCATCAACAAGTATGACATACTTTGTATAGTCATCAACAAGTATGACATACTTTGTATAGTCATCAGTTTAATCCAAACATTGAATAAATCACGATAGCATAATGCATCAAAAGCAGTCTAACTAAAACCAATATAAATGATCCCCTCTCAAAATTGTGATTGTGTGTACAATTTTAGACTTTCAAAGAAGTTTTCATAATTTTTTAGTCATATTGCTACAAAGTCTGCAATGTGGTAGTTTATAGTGAAGTGTAACAACGGGGCGTTATACCGCAGACATTTAGCATCATGTCCCACCCGGTCATATTATCCTAACACCAGGTCGGCCAGTTCTAATACTAACCTCTTAATGCTGAGCGACAAGCGAGGCAACTGTTAGGACCATATTTATAAGTCTTTTCTATGACTCGGCCGGGGTTCAATCCCGCATCCTTTCGCATCTGAGGCAGTCACTCTAACCACCGGATCATTAACGAAATAAAGGAGGTTCAAGACATGGATATTACAGAATATTAATACGACCATTCGTGTATCGCAGTTTATTTATGTGGCTACTAATAAATTTAGCAATATGATAAATAGGTTGAACTCCATGCATAGGTCACAAGGGAAAATTCTATCTGCTATGGTTTGTACTCGTGTATAAGTTGAATCCAAACTGGGCATACCCAGAAGATCAATGATGGTAGTATATACGGCAGCACTTAAATAGCTGCCAATTAATGAATTTCTTACCGCAGGATAATATTTGCCTATTTGCTGGATTAAGTGCCACTGAAATCTGAGTTAAGGTTAAATCAATTGTGCCATTTAATGGGGGTGGTCTTCTAAAGCGTTCGTCTCTACCGATCAACGCCAGAGTTCCCTGCTTATTAGTGTTCTCAAAAGTGGTGTAACTCTCTCTCTCTCTCTCTCTCTCTCTCTCTCTCTCTCTCTCTCTCTCTCTCTCTCTCTCTCTCTCTCTATATATATATATATATATATATATATATATATATATATATATATATATATATATATATATATATAATCTTTGTATAAAGTATTCCTTAAATTATTCCATTTTTGAAAGACGATAAATAAAAAATAAACACTGAAGAAGAAATAAGGTGAATAAAATTAAGAAAGAGTAATGAAGACAAATAAAAATAAACAATGCTAAATCTATTACATACACTGTATATTATCTGTGACCTAGATATCGTTCTTAGTATTGGACTTTGTGCGATCATTAAAGTCGTAATGCGCCTGGTAGAGAATGTATTATGGAGATTTATAAATAAAATAAATCCTTTTGACCTTAATATATTCAAAATAATGATAATTCATTCATATGACATACGTAATGGGGCTTCCAATTTGATATATGTGGAAACCGCAGATCAGACTAACTGCTGATTCATCATCATCAACAATTTTGGAGTAAAAGACGTCAAAATTAATCAACGTTTCTTCGACGTTTTGAATGACATGACCAATTTGCACAAAATCCTAATTTTACATTATTACCTCTCTTTTGAATATTTTATGATATATCCAGTTTATAACGGAGTACATCAATCATTCTAGTTGGTGGAAATTTTAACTATTACTGTAATAATCAGTTCCATGCTAGTGCCTGCGATCTATATGTTTTGTTATTATATGCTCATCTTTTTTCTCCGTTAACTTTACATTGTCAGAATCGTTCAATATCCGGCGATATTGAACACCTTCATATTGCACTCCCACGTGACTGATGCACATGAATGAAGAACTACTTTCTATAGTAAACAAACAATGGACGCAGACGCCAGTACTTTAGATTGATTGTGTTTGTCGGTGGATAAAGTAAACCAACTGTTTGAACCATTTGAAAGTAGAGATGCCAAAGTTGAGAATGTGGATGAATTCATATATTCACAGAAGAAATTTTCAACGAAGCAGGCGACTGAACGTGATATCAGAAATGTTCAGCGATGGCTGTATGAAATATAAACAAAGAAAAAAGGAGTAAAATTTTTTTAGACAATGCAAAGAATGAATGAAAATAAAATTACATAACATAAAACAAAAAATATAGGGGAAAATATGTAATGAATTGTATAATCTGCACATACCAAACCGTTTTCAATAATAATAAGCGGATGATGCTATTGCATGCAATATAGGTGTTTTGTTACTTGCCACGATTAAAAAATATGCAGCCAATGTTTCTACGCACGTTATAGTTTTACGTGACTTTTCATGATTAATTTAATAAGCAGTCAATGTCATTGCATGAGGTCTAGAACTTTCCGCGATTAATTTAATAAGTTGTCAATGCTATTGTAAATGATCTCGGTAGTGGAAATTTACACTATTATAATTTTAGCTTTGTTTAGTTTTAATCCGCTTTGTTCTTAGTTGGTACAAAGGGCGTCCACCGCTACCATCCATCGGTCCCTGTCCTGTGCCACTTCCTTTGCTTCTCCCCACGATAGTTTCACGGTTTTCATATCGGCATCGAGTGTTCTTCTCCTTGTGTTGGCATGGCGTCCTCTATTTCTCTTCCTTTGGGAATTCCATTCTAGGGCATGCTTCGCGATGCTAATGCTGCCTTTTCTCCAAGTGTGACTCACCCATCGCCATTTCCTTCCAGAGATGGTTACAGTGATCGACTCATGGTTTGTCTTTTTCCAGATTTCTTCATTTGACACTTTCTCAGGCCACCAGATACGAAGGATTTGTCTCAGGCACATGTTGATGAAGGCTTGAAGCTTCTGGTCCAGCGCCTTTGTTCGTTTCCATGACTCAGAGCCGTAGAGCAACACGGTCTTCACATTGGTGTTGAACATGCGTATCTTGGAGTTGAGGCTGAGTTTCCTGCTGGTCCAGATTGGCTTGACTTGGTGAAGGAGTGTCGTGTTTTGAGAATTCTGTCACTGATGTCCTCGTCTGTTCCTTCTATGTTGCTCACCTTGCTTCTAAGATAAGTGATTACTTCAACATCATTCTGTGCTGTACTTCCAGAATAATGGAGTACGTTTGCTGAGCATTCATGCGCACGGATTTGGTCTTCTTGCCATTGATTGATAAGCCTACTTTGCTAGCAGTTTCTTGTAGCAGGTCCATTTTCTTCTGCAGGTCATCCCAGGTATGTGGCAGGAATCAGGGGTATCAGCAAAGTCCAGATCTTCGTGCCTATTCTACTGGATCCCTATTGGTATGTCAATGCTTGTTTTCACCCAGTCGATGTCTGCAGAGAAGAGCGGAGTAGAGATAAGGCAGCCTTGTCTCAATCCGGCAACAACCTCAAAATCTGGTGAAAGAGTGTCGTTGTGGATAGCAGGACATTCACGACCTTCTCTGGCACTCCATCGTGGCTCTATCTACTATATCAAAAGCCTTTCGGTGGTCTGTGAAGTTTAGATACAGTGGTGACCGCCATTTCAAATTATGTTCAATGATTACGCATAAGGCCGTACGTTTTGTGCAGAACGATCTTCCTGGTCGGAACCCACTTTGCCCTTCTCGCAGTCTATCGTCTATTACCTTCTGAATCCTTTCCAAGATAATCCGAGTAAACACTTGGCTGCAGATTTAGAGAAGTTGGATCCCACACTAGTTATTACAATCCGCAGAGTTCCCTATGCTCCATTCTTCCGGGATCT